TCTTACCGATACTTCAAAATTCTTCTACTTCGGCAGTTGGATTTGTTGACGATACCAAAATACTAAAATGGTCAGGTACAACCGAAGAAAATTAAGAAATTAGAGGACGACACGACATCTGCGAAGCATGGGTGGAAAAGAACGGCGTGAAGTGGGCACCAGAGAAGTACCAGCTCATGCATTTCACGCGAGCAGGGAAGCGATAAAACCTAGAAGCAACTGTTATGATACGAGTTCAACAACCTCTCCACTGTCCTCCCTTCGAGTCCTTGGTATATACTTTGACCCTAAGCTCCAATGGGGCTCCCATGTAAAGCATACTGTATAAAAGTCACACACCCAAGTACAATCAATAAGTAGGTTGGTGCAGTCAACTTGAGGTGCAATATTCAAGAAGTTAAAGCTTTTGTAAAGCACAATAGTGAGGCCAGCCCTGAGTTACGGGTGTTCTATATGGGCTGTAGCTGAGGCAGAGTGTAGCATACCAGACAGGATAGCCAAACCACTGCGAAATATCCAAAAAAACGCTTGAAGCTTGGTACAGGGGCATATAATTCTACCAGTAGCAGGGGGACTTTTCTCAACACCTGTCAGTGGTGGGACACACGAACCTTCAGCTCTCACTGTAGAGTCTGCAGAGCCGAGATTGAGTAACAAAGTCCTCACTTCGACGAGGATTCCCAATCGCTTTCGCCGTCTGTATCGTCTTCATTTCTCAGCACATTCCCCTTTCACTATTATCATGAAGCTAACCACGATCAGATCAGATGGTAGAGTCGGAGCCCTTCTCATCAACCACCCTTGATCATGGAGGAAAAGCCATCCGATGAGTTTTGGGAGCGTGCCCAGCACCCGATACGGAGATGGCGGATTGGATCAAGTAGACCTCGACTGTTACAAAGAAGGGAGATGTAGACGAATATGCGCTCCTCATGTGGTCCCGGTGTCTAGGCCTCGCCTGGCTGGGACTGCAGGTTTTATGAGACTTTTTCCCGCGCACGCAGTTTCCATTGCTACCATTTTTATTTTCTTTGGGTAGAAGGTTCCGTGGAAAAGGTGGCTGAATTCCACGGATAAATACTGAGCTGAATGGCTATTCATCAAGGGGAATATAACAATGATCTTGTAAGTAACAAAAGAGGATAGGAGCACCGTACAAGGTGTGGCCTAGGTCAGAAAGGAGCCCAATGTGCTAGATAGTCATAGACTCAAGTAGTACATCAAACAACACTCACTCTACCAGCAGCAGGCTACTGGAACACGAGTCTTCGGTTCTCCCGATCAATATCTACCTCAAACAAAGGGGGGCTCAACACATCGGACTTTCGGAAGGACAACCTGTCAAGTAGACAATCCTATCTGCATGTAATAAATTATCGCAGGTGTATAGCCTGAGCTAAAATACCTACGCCAGGAATCGAAAGCTAAACATTGAAGAGAGGTGTGTTTATTGTACTACTTGAGTCTATGACTATCTAGCACATTGGGCTCCTTTCTGACCTAGGCCACACCTTGTACGGTGCTCCTATCCTCTTTTGTTACTTACAAGATCATTGTTATATTCCCCTTGATGAATAGCCATTCAGCTCAGTATTTATCCGTGGAATTCAGCCACCTTTTCCACGGAACCTTCTACCCAAAGAAAATAAAAATGGTAGCAATGGAAACTGCGTGCGCGGGAAAAAGTCTCATAAAACCTGCAGTCCCAGCCAGGCGAGGCCTAGACACCGGGACCACATGAGGAGCGCATATTCGTCTACATCTCCCTTCTTTGTAACAGTCGAGGTCTACTTGATCCAATCCGCCATCTCCGTATCGGGTGCTGGGCACGCTCCCAAAACTCATCGGATGGCTTTTCCTCCATGATCAAGGGTGGTTGATGAGAAGGGCTCCGACTCTACCATCTGATCTGATCGTGGTTAGCTTCATGATAATAGTGAAAGGGGAATGTGCTGAGAAATGAAGACGATACAGACGGCGAAAGCGATTGGGAATCCTCGTCGAAGTGAGGACTTTGTTACTCAATCTCGGCTCTGCAGACTCTACAGTGAGAGCTGAAGGTTCGTGTGTCCCACCACTGACAGGTGTTGAGAAAAGTCCCCCTAGACATTGAAGAATGGATCAGAATTTGTGGCATGGAGAAAGCAAAAGAGAGACAAAAAGATGCCGGTAAGGTGGCCGCGTTCCAGGGGTGGAAAAAGTAATGGACACGTCTGGCGAACGAGAAACTATCTGGTCATCGAGATTTGGCAGGCCCTGAACATGGGAAAGGCGCAAATATTGTTACAGATGAGACGAAAGGCAGAAAAATGATTATCAATAGAAATACACCCTCAAATATCCACAGGAACATTAGCAGGACCCAAAGCAGCAGTGTAGTTCAGATAAGAAGTGAGCACGTTGGTCTCAACTCCTATCTGTACCGAAGGAAAGTCTCCGGAGTGATTAATCCAAAGTTTCAGTGTGGATATGAATCTCAAAATGTCTAACACATGGTCTTGGCGTGTCCTTAGTAGGCAATGGGAAGAGGAGAGCTGCTTCGAAAGGCAAAAGATAGGTCCTTTACGACAGTGATGAATATCCCAGATGATATGGAGAGAACCACGAAATGCATCTTGTCAAAAGGCTGGTTTGAATAGTTTCGGCTCGCAAGAGTAGTAGCGATGGCATTGTGCGAAAAGAGGAGACGATGTGGAAAAGGATAGGACGGAATTCACACTGTAAGAGCAGTCTAAACGCATTTCCTGCAGGAAACATCAGAAAAACCAATAGAAATGAGACACAAGATTAGGGGTTTTTCCGAATTGGTCTCATCTGTAAATATCATAGCTAGATATACCTGCATGGGCTAAATGAAATCATATCAAATACGATGAGTACATAATTATTTATAACAATAACATCATGTTCGCTCACATTATGCGAGCCTTTCACGTACCGATCAGCCCAGTCCAGATAAAACTACCCTGACACCTGATATGATCGTGATTAGCTTTGTGATAAAGGTGACAGGGGATTGTATTGAGGGGTGAAGACGATAGAGACCGCTGAAGCCATTGGGAAGCCTATCAAAGTGAGGACATTGTTACCCAACCTAGACTCTGCAGACTCCATAGTTAAATCTGGAGGCTCGTAAGGGATACCACTGACAGGTGTTGAGTACAGTCCCTCTCCCTTCACTCAAGACATTAAGCGTATTGTCATTCTTGACGGATTTCGCTGACTAAGCTATCAGGTGCTCTTATTATTTGGCCTACGTTTACTAGGAATGTTTAGCGCCCAGCAATCAAATCAACAAGCTACAAATTACCTAACATGGCTCCCCACCTTGTCACTACGCAATCAGTCTTTCAAAGTCATAAACTCTGCAGGAGGTTTAAATAAATTAAACTCGATTGACTTCTCAATACACTGTATCATATCGTACAACGTCGCATTTACCATGTTTATCCTATCTTCGAAAATTGAAGCCATCCTACTCGACATAGGTACGAGGTCCCCATTGATATTCCTACTATCCAAGTCAGTTGACGTGGCATCACATACCGTTGAAAACTGCGCACAGATTTGGCTGATATATAACAGAGGGAACGCTGTGTTCAATCTCATTTGTCAAGGATATTTTAGTAAGTGATAGGTGAAATCTTCTTATCGCCGTTCGTTTTACACTTTTGCTTTGTTTTGCAACATTTTTTCCTCGTCATGCTTTAGTAGTGAATGACCAGGCTGGGAGATCGTCATCGAAATACTTAGCCTAATACATGATTGAGCGGATTACCACCTCGCATTTTTATTTCATTTGGCGAGGTCTGTGCTTCCCGCAACTAGCAGCATGATGCTATTAATTTTCACTGTTGAAGTCCGGCGAAAATTCTGAGCCGCTCTTCTCTGTGGACATTGTGAGAAGATTGGCCAAAGCCAAATTTCCGCACGTGTCTTGTAGGGAATTCAAATCTATCCAGACAGACATTCGGGAAGCTAGGACTCGCCAATTATCGAACATGCTTCTGGTGATGGTCCTCACTACGCTCCAGCCGAAAATGATCCTAGCACACATGCATCAGACCCAGCCAATCTCTACATTGGTAACCAAGTTGATTTGCGGCAGTCTCGACCACATTTTGTTCAAACTTAAAGCTACAAGTTACTCAGGATTAACGCCAGATAAGGAGTATCTTTCATATTTATATCAAGTCATGTCAGCCAGGAGCCCCAAAAGCGTTAATGACATATCTATTCAGTTGATACTCGGTGGACAATCCAAAATCTAGCGCGTAATACACTTTCCAGTCCAATCTGCATATCAGTGATAACAGCGCGGTGAGGGAATGATCTCTTATTGGCTGTGCACATGGACTCTTCCTGGAAATTCGCCCAGACGTATATATATGTCCCCTAAAGATTAACTCCTTGCGCTCAATAAGATTAAACCTCTATTCCTCGGGCTCTATGCAAAATTTAGCTATGTAAATACGCCATGTCATTATTAAGGGGCGTCCGGTACCTCAAGTGATGCCCACTTTAATGTCGCTAGTTGAAAAAATTTAGAGCTCCCTCATCAAGCCATAGCTCTCTAGAGATGACTTTTGCCTGAAAGCTAGAACGCCACACGAGCGTCAGTTTGTTAGTAAACTTTCAATATTCAGTATACGCAAAAATTACACACGGCTTTGCTTCACCATCTATACCCGAGGTTTTTCTGATGTAGAATTTACTCGCAGTGAAAGTTTCCAATCAATTTCTGGTTCTAAAATTCAACGGCACGCAAAATATCACTACCCATCCAGCTCAGTCATATCTCTGGTTTACTAAGCTTATTTTTCTGTTTCATAGTGAAAATGTCTAACCTTTTCAATATATAGTTTCCCTATGCTATCACTAGCCTCTCCGAAAATTTAGAAACACTTTGGATAACGCCGAACTTCCAGCCGTATCTTAATGCTTTTCACCCTTCTAGCCGTACCGATCCAAATACATTCCTTAACCATATCAAGGATCTTATGGCCGCAGATAACAAGATGCCAGCACTCAAAAATTTACAAGGATTTCTATGGCGCAGTGGCTATGAGAGCGGTGCGTTAAGATGCACCCTCTTTTCAGACGTCGCGCCAGTTCTGCAAAAATGGAACTCAAGTGGCCTCAAAATATTTATTTATTCATCTGGATCTGTGGCAGCACAAAAACTTTTATTCCAATACACTGACTCAGGTGACTTGCGTCTCTACATTAATGACTACTATGATACTGTCAATGCTGGTGCAAAAAATGATTCACAAAGCTATGCTAGCATCATCGCTGGTGGCCCAGATCATCTAAGACGTGCAGAGAAATGGTTATTTTGCAGTGACCGCACCTGTGAGGTTGAAGCAGCGCTAACAGTAGGACTCGAAGCGCTGGTAGTCGTACGGCCTGGAAATATTCTCTTGGATGCTGAAGAAAGTTCGAGATTTCATCTTGTACAGAGTCTAGCTGATATCTCATTAGATGGACGGGCTAATGGTGACTCCCTATCATAATATTTATTTATTTCCTTGGCTTTGGCCTCATGTCAGTAGCTTTACGCACTGGAAGATTTCAAAATGTTTACTAAATTACTGAACGAATAAACTGATATACGGATCACATTTCAAAATATCATGCGTTATCTACATGTCTTTTTACATCTTGCATTAATTAGTAACTTCACGGTTGGTATGACAAAGGTCATAGACTTAAAGTCTGTTAGTTCATTTAAAGTTATGAGAGTACTCGTGTAAGTAGTTTGAACTATCATTCAGAAGAATTGCGCATTAATGGTGATTCGTTTTCTCCTGAGTTGATGCTATGTATTGAAGGGTGGTGGTGTATATGGTCGTATACATTTGGTATCTTCAATTAAATGGTTGTGACTTCTCAGGAGGTTTAGAATATACCTAGGTGATTATAGCAATATTGTATTGGGATGTGAATGGTATCTTATTGTGTTGTTATGTTATGTTATGTTACAAGTTATTTTCATGATAATTAACCAATCCCAGATACTGCCAGATAGCGCCGCAGCTAGTCTTTTTTAGGAGTGATGTTGAAGTATCAGCTACTGAGCCTTAGATGACATGTGACTTGATTTGTAAGATGGACTAAACTAGGGTATATAGAATGTATCGTAAATGTAGAACTTAGTAGTTAGTATGAAAATTATATACCAAATAAGCTGTAGGCATTTACCAGCAGTACAGCTTTCTAACTTTATCTTCCTTCAATAAGGAGGGACTATTCTCAACACCTGTCAGTGGTGTCCCCTACAAACCTCCAGCTCTCACTGTAGAGTCTGCAGAGCCGAGATTGAGTTATCTCCCCCTTCATCAAAGATACGCTTCCGATAACACACAAGACGACCAAGACGATAATGATGATGCTGGGAATAAGGAAAGATAATGCGGTACCAAACGCTACAACTGTAGTCAGAGAAGCCCTCGTTATATCACAACATATGCTACCCACCGGCGGGCGAACAAAAAGCCCACGAAAGCAAAGTAAAAGACCCTTCCGCCCTCAAGAAAGCAGATTTCGACTCGTCAACAGTATTGTCACTGCTAATCTATACCTCCGAATCTACTAGCCAGGAGGGCATCTGAAATACATGAGTTATTCAATGTAAGGGTTCTTGAGAAATGCCTCAGGCAGGATTTATGGGTTCCTTGTTTAATCCCACTAGTCTTTTTTTTTTTTTTTTTTTGCATCAGATTTTAATTGCGTATGCAGCTATCTAGCTATGACACAATATCAGAGAAAAGTACAGAAAAGATGACTCAGTTTATAATAGGAGCACTCATGCCTCGGATTTCATTTGCAAGTACCACTGCGAAGTTATGGTGGCTTTTTCTTCACCCCAAGTCAACCCTCATCCGTGAATACCCACCCAGGGGAACGTCTCAAAAACCCTGAGTTATTCAGACATGCCTCTGTCATCCATCAACTTTTCTCCGCGCGAAATGTAATCTGAAATGTCTCCTTCCCCAGTGGAGTAGGTGCCCAGGCTACTCAAACTATACCAGAGAACATCCCCAGGAGGCGAACCACTACACCTTCCATCGTTTGCTTGTTTTTATAGTGTCAGCTGCACTCTCGCAAGCGAAGTCTTGGCGCGCACAAAGCTCAATTCGTAAAACTCTGGCCAAAATTCGAAATTTCATGCCCGTCGAGAATGTATCCCTCTTCTGCATCATCTTGTAAACTTGTCCTGATCCCTCTCACGTCCGTCCCAAAGAGCTATCTCCCAAAATTGTGCTCCACGCTTTGCTTCCTCCGTCGGGTGTAAATATCGGCGTGGGCGTGTATTTGGTGACCGGCTGAGGCCAGAGAAAGTCGACGAGAGGTGTGGTCATTGAAACGAGGATGTACTAGGTCGTACTTGTAGACTTGATGAAGCTTAGTTGAGAATCGGACTCTTTGGGAGTGAAAGATTGATATGGTGGAGTAATTTGAAATTTTGCCCCGTAGGCCAACTTGATTGATATTGCGAAGTTTGACTGAACTTGGCTCTGGGAGAATATTTCACTCTCAGGTTCGTAGGGCACCACTGGCAGGTGTTCAGTTTTGCCCTCCCCCACTAGTCTTTATTGCTTAGCGAGGGCACCTATGTGGTTTCCATTTCCGAGTCTGAGATCTTCACGCATTGTTTTCTGTCTTTAGGAATAGTTACATTATTCTTATCACATCTCACTCTCGTCCTCTGCCAAACATAGTGACCTACCGTCACCTCCGGCCCCTCTATCTAGAACGACTCTCCGCTTTCCCATTTACCACTTCTCTAGAAAGCCCTCCGCGTTACCACGAGGCGTCCTTCCTCAGTACATCCTACGCTACGCCCTCTCCTACGCCTCGAGTCCTGCGCCTAGTGAACCTGCGCCTGACATTCGACAACCCCACGTCCGTAACGACTTTTGGATGCTAGGCTAGGCTCCTTCACGACAGTCACTCTCGACCAAGAATTCTCTGACATCCTTTCACGACCTTCGGTTTGTCCTGCGGCATGAATCCGGGGAGGAGTAAGGAGGAGACTAGGAAGGTTGAGAGACGCTCTTAGGTATACACAGGTCTGCTGCGCCCGACTGGCCGGCCTCTTCGTCATCGGAGAGCACCGCACCCAGTGATTTTTGAGACTTTTCCCTGTAGCTACACACCCGCAAATGGCAATCGTTTCGTTGGCTGGAGAGGGGAGATAATGAAGAGATAACGGCTCCTCTTAGTGTGTACTCGAATGAAGACCTGTGGGGGTATTACTACTGGAAAGAAGTCGTGAGGGAGGCAAAGGAGGGAGTACACTACCCGAGGCATAGATACTCCCGACCTGTAGGCAGAAGAACCTACATGTCCTTACATAGTTATGGACTTTTTAGGATAATAAACAACCACTCACTCACTCATTCCTTTAGTAAGTGATCTACGGGTGAGTTTATCAATCGGTGGTATCCAATTTATCACTAACCTGTTTCCATTGCCCTAACTCTGCATGCTACACAACATAGATGCCGATTTACTACTATTGTGAAAAGCGCATTCACGACACTATGGGATTGCTATCTAGCTTACATTCAGATAAAGCATTATCCGAATGTCGGAATCCACAAATCAAAAGAACTAGCCACTGCGATGCAACAACCACTGACTCCAAATAACTCCAGCTAGATGAATCATTCCGACACTACAAATACTTAAAATAACGTCTAAATAGGTGAAAATAGCTGTCCAGCCACTCAGACTTGTTCTTATCAACAAAATTTACTGCAAAATCATTGTACTTATTGGTACAGGCTGAATCCGCTAGCAGAAAGATAATGGCTGGTAACTTGGCTCTTTATTCTTTACCTAAGCTACCAACTTAGAGATATCCAATGTGGACCGCAAGGCCTTAGTGCAGTCAGTACACGTGCGTATAGGCCTATACTCCGCACCAGTCAGAGAGATCTAGACACTAGCAACTTTCCAACAGTTGAAAAAATGATCTTGCATTCCCGCATCCCTGAATGTATATCCCTAAACTCTTTATATCATTGCTTTTCTTTTTTCCTTGCCATTTTTAATAAACCCATCTGTTCGAATTGATAGTCTTCCCACCGGTAGTGTTGAAGGTTTCGAGAACTTGGCTCCGTTTAGCCATTTTATGGAATGTTGGAAAATCGGTATGGGTTCATTGAGTAAGGCGGCTCAAAGAATATGGACGCGATATACGAACAGAATAATAATGATATGAATCGGGAGATTATGATATACTGTGGAGAAATGGAAACGAATTGAATCAATTCATTATCTGTCTTGGGGATCTGTCACGAAATAAGAGAATGTCCTTATTAATAGATATATTGATCACGAAGCCACAAGAAGTCCAAGCCGGCAAAGACGAATTCTTCACCTTCCAGTGGTGCCGGTGTAATCGCTCAGTATGCTCTGCATATCTGGGATAGCCAAGAAGAATCGCATTCGAATCGAAGTCGAAAGCAAACACATGCATATCTCCATTTGACGACTTCTCAATCATGCAGCACTCACCATTATCTTCTGAGTCCTCAACCTCTTTCTAACCACACATCATCTCGCCTCGACAACTGATAAAGACGTCACCTCAATTGCAAACAGGAGCTTGCCTTAATCATTACCGGCCATCACTCACTACAAATTTACGACGCTATTTATACCCGCAAGGAGGTAATTAAGTCATAATATACAAAGTTGGGGTCTTGGTTTATGGAGGACTGATGCTCTAATGGGGTTATACACCTTGAGGAAGAACAGGCGACTGAGATGTGGAGCCAGAGGGGAAAGAGGTCTCTGAAGAGCATGCTGGGACCGATACTTTCGAGGAGTTTTCGGGTTTGGATTGTTTGTGGGCGCCAAGACTAAGATTTCGGTTAATTAGCCAGGAGGGCTTCTTTTGTCGATGAGTCAACGGCACTCCCCAGGGCCCTGGACGGCACAAAAGAAGTTGGGCTAAGCTACAATACAGGAATCGCGCTCAGTCAAGACTTTTCTGACATTTCAGCACGACCTTCGGGAAGGAGTTGGAAGGAGGCTAGAAAGGCAGAGGGTGAAGTTCCTGAGGTACCCACATGTCTGCAGCGCCCAGCTGGCCGGCCTCTTCGAACGCTTCAGAAGGGGCAATATGTCTTCGGATTTATTCCTGATGTTGGTATTAGGAGAGCCCCGCACCCAGTAGTTTTTACAGTTTTCTCGGCTGCCATACACCCGCATGTCCCACATGTCACGGTTCGAGTGTTGATGCTGGAGCAATCAGATATACGAAGTTAGTTTATAATTTTCTCTGTAACTAGGTATCAGAGTATTACTTCAACTATTTATACATTGATGAAGATCTCTAGAATACTCGTTCTTGGCTGATATCTGCTTCTCGTATATTCCAGTCATATTAGTTACCAGTTTTGCTACCAATTACTAGAATATTCCAGTTACAGCTGAGCTGATCTGGAATAGAGCTAGACTACTGTAGAATTATAGAAGCACGTGAATACAATCACGTGCC